ATTACAGGCGTGTGCCATCACACCCCGCTAGATAATATATTTTAATTCTTTTAAAAACTGATGAATAAGCACACAGTGGATACTGTCATTTTAATCACACTTTCAGGATTTTCAATCTGTGGGGTGGGGGAAAAGCAGGTGTCGCAGCCCAGGTGAAAGGGATTTACAGAGGCTGACACTCGTGTTCATGAGGACTAGCAATCGAACCTGACAGAGAATTGTAAAGGTCTACACAGCACTTGGACAGGTTTTGTGTTTAATTCGTCTGTCCCCATGCAGGGCTAACTCTGGTCTTTCAGGCAACAACCGTCCCTCAGCAGGAACAGTAAAGAGCCTCTTGCTGCAGAGCCGCGAGGTGGCTACTTAAATGTGCAGGAGGCGGGGGCGGGGCCTCGTCTGTTACGTAACTCGTCTGCGACCGCGCCTGCGCTGGACATCATGGTGGCGGCTGGGCTCCGCGGTCCTGCCTTGCTAGGCGGCCTGACTTGGAGGCGGCCCGGGCTTTGGACTCATTCATTTCTGCGCCCCTTTGGGCCGCAGTTTTTTGAGGAAGCCAGGTCACTGTGTTACGGGTCCCCGCCTGGAGACACAGGAGATGGAGAACCGGAGCGCGAGGCGGCGCGAAGGGAAGCCTCCGCACCGGAGTCGTCCCCACCTCTCCCTTTGCGCGACCTGGACGTTGGGGTCGGATGTCTGTCGTCGCCCGAAAGCCTCAGACTGCTGACGTCGCGGGATCGCGGGGACCCCAGCGGAGAGCGGAGCCAGCCCGACCTCCTGCAGTGGGAAAGAGGGTTCCCCTCGCTGCCCGCCCTGGCCCGGGCCGCCTGCGAGGCCCAAGAGCTCTACGTCTCCCCTTCCTGCTCAACTTGCAGAGAGGGACCCTTTCGGGCCGGAGAGCTGATTTTAGCTGAGACTGGGAAAAGAGAAACTCACTTCAAAAAATTATTTAGATTGAGCAACGTCGGACACTTAAATAGCACGTGGGGGTTAGTTCCGTTCAGCAAGATCGTGGGGAAGTTCCCCGGCCAGGTTCTGACGAGTTCCCTTGGTAAGCGTTTCATGCTGCGGAGGCCATCGCTGGAAGACTATGTGTTACTGATGAAGAGAGGGCCTGCCATAACGTACCCCAAGGTAACCGTGGGTCCGGCGCGTCCGGGTTTCACGAAGAGCACAAAACGGGTGCAGTAACACCGTCCTCATTAATGGACTCAGAGCACACCACAAAACATTTTTGGTTTGGTTTTTATTTTGTTTTTGTTTGCTTTTGACAATACTGAGGATTCAGCCCAGGCTTCATGCATGCTAGGATAACGCTGTACCACGGAGCTACACTCTCAGACCTTTTCATTTTGTTTTGAGATAGGGTCTCGCTAAATTTTCCAGGCTCGCCTGGAATTTATGGTCCTGCCTCAGCCTCCAGAGTAGCTGGGGTTACGGACTCACCCCACCCGGCTACATTTGAATTTTTCATTATAATAATGGATATAATTAATGATACTGCTAAATTTTTTGATACTGTTAATTTTAAGAGGAAACAACCATTTTTTGTTTGTTAGTTACAAACAACTGGGGTTTGAACTCAGGCCCTTAGCACTGAGCTACATTCTCAGTGAATCCCCCACCTGCCTTTTTTTTTTTTTTGAAAGAGGATATCCCTAAGTCACTTAATTGCCCAAGCTGGGTTCGATTTGCTGTCCTGCCTCAGCCTCCCAGAGTGCTGAGGTTACAGCAGTGTGCCGCTGTACTGGGCCACAACCAGGACTTAGTTTTCATTTGGTATTTGCAATTTCCTTGTCTGTAAAATGAAGATTATGCCAGTTTATTAAAGTGATGTGGCTGGACATAAGTGGCCCATGCCTGTAATCCCAGAATTTGGGAGGCTGAGGCAGGAGGATCACGAGTTCCAGCCCAGCCTGGGCTACATAGGGAGGCCCATCTCTCAACCTACCCACCCTCCATCCAAAAAAAAAAGATGTTTTACCCAGGACTCAAGAAAAATTTCCTTGGAAGCATTAGACTAATGGGGTCAAGGGTAGCTAAATTCTTGATGGAATCTTTTTAATTTCTTTCTTTCTCCTTCCTCCCCCGCTCCTTCCTTCCTTCTTTCTTTCCTTTGAAACAGGGTCTCACCCTGTAGTGCAGGTTGGCCTTGAGCCTCAGCCTCCTGAGTGTTGGGATTACAGGCATGGGCCACCACTCAGCAAGTTACGTTCTTTTAACTACGTCTTTCCTCTCTGGATGGTCTAACCTAGTTATAATAGATATTTGTAATTTAATCTTGCTTTTCCATGACATTTTGCCCACTAGACAGAACAGATTTTATGATTATTATTTATTTGATGTTTTGAGACAGGGTCTCACTATCTAACCAAGGCTAGCTTTGTAGTTACTATGTTGTCCAGGCAGGCCTCAAACTCATAAGAGACCCTCCTGCCTCAGCCTCCTGAGTGCTGGGATTACAGACATACACCACCACATCCAGCTATCAAGTACTTTTAATTTGGAGTAGAAGAATAAATGGCAACAATCTTTAAAATTTCTAATTAATCTTTTCTGCCCATGTGCATGATTGTAGCTGTTACATAGGACAATTGGAGAGTAAAATTACTTAATGAATAACTTAATGAAAACTAAACTGCAATTTAACGCTAAGGATTAGATTTATATTATTGAATTAATGAAGAAAGAGATTAGAATTCCTCCTACAAAAAAAAAAAATTAACTCTAGAAAGGTTTAGAAGCCCAAAGTTCAAAGTTATCTGGGCATGGTGGTGCATACCTGTAATCCCAGCACTCAGGAAGCTGAGGCAGGAGGATTGACATGAGTTTGAGGCCAGCCTGGGCTATATGGTAAGTTCATGGCCTTCCTGAACTACAGAGTGGGACCCTGCCTCAAAAAAAGAAAAGCAGATCCCAGAGTTAGCCAGGTGTGCTGGAGCACAAATTTTAGTCCCAAAGTTTTAGATCTTTAGGAGCTTTCTGTCAAGATAAAACTAAAGTTGTAAATGAAATACAATTTTGCATACATGTGTAGTAGTAAAAAAAACCTTTTGGTTGCAGAACATAAATATTTAGCAGGTATAGTTGTTTTTAAAGCCAAAATGTATTTTCTGAAATGCTGGACTAAGGCTTGAACCAAATGACACAGACGCATACTTTTTAAAACGTGTTAGTCAAGAAGTTGCATTCACAAATGCTCCCATTTCAGCATCCACATCCTCTCTCAGGTTCCAGGCTCCTTGGGCAGTTACTTCCATGGAAGCCCTTGAGAACGTGCTTCTATTTTCCTGGCTCTTTCAGATAAGATACAGAACCTGACACATTAGTTTTGAGGGGTTTCCTGAGACAGGGTCTCTCTGCATGCTGGGATTACAGGCGTGTGCCATCACCTGGCTTGACACCTCATTTAAAAAAGACATTTGAGGGCTGGGATTTAGCTCAGTGGTGCCACTGCCTGACTGACAAGGACCCAAGTTCGATCCCTGGTACCCCCCCCCCCAAAAAAAGACATTTGAACACAGTTTGGTTTTTGCTTCCTGATATTCAGGTTACAGTCTCAACAGGATGAGTTTTCTAATTTGGATCCCACTATACAAACAGTTTAACAATCTCATTCCAAAATGTGAGTGGAACATCAGCATTTATTCATTTTCTGCTCTTCTCAAATGAACTTGAGCCTCCTGGAAGAGTCCTCCAAAGTTATGAAATACCACTCTCCAGCTGAGGTTTCTACAGTTATTTATTTTGTGATGCTGGGGACTAAAGCCAGGGCCTTTGTGCAGTGAGCTACATTCATGGTCCTTGTTTTTATTTTTTTAATTCTGATAAGTCTTTCTGAGTTGCCTGGGTTGGCCTCGAACTTGCAGTCCTCTGCCTCAGCCTCCCAAGTACTGGGATTATAAGCAGGTGCCATCGTGCCTGGCAGTGTGATCTTTCTTTTTGTAACAGAGGTGATGATACTTTTCTCATATTGTTATTCTTATTAAATGAGATAATGTGTGAAAGCAGTTTGCATAGTTACAGAAGCCTACCATGTGGTAGAGTTTTAATAAACTGCTTATTACTATATCCATAATATTCCTGTTACATTAACAGAAGCAGTTACAATATTTGGCAAGTGGGTCCTCCAATCTGTTCTTATATCTTAATCTTAAATTGAAAGTTCAAGATCTCAAGCAGAGGATACCTAATAGCTTCCTGACTGGTTCTCCTGCCTCCCACCTTTCTCTAGCACACCCTGGATTGCCCCGCCCGGTTCATCTTCATGAGATGCCATTTATAGTGTATCAGTGACATGCTCCAGCTGCTTTCCAGGCCAAGTTCAGAGGCCTCAGACTGGCATTAATGTCTGTGTCTATTATACCTGTGCTTGATTCAAAGCTGTTTCTACCATGTGATCATTTCTTTAAATTCTCCACTCTGCATCTTTAAGTTCGGGCAGCCTGCTCCTTTCTTCTGTCTTTGAACTCCTATGGTTCTTATTGTCTGTATTTTTGTATTCTTCTGAAGTGTTGCCTTATTTGTGAGTTCTTTTTTTTTTTTTTTAACAGTCTTAGGGATTAAACCTACGAAACACTGACCTACCTCCTCATTCCTTTTTTTTTTTTTTTCCTTCCTGAGTTGGATTTTTGCTAAATTGCTCAGACTGGCCTCTAACTTGTGTTTCCCTGCCTGCCACTGCACAGCAGTGAAGCTTGGCTGCTAATTGACTTTCTCTTTTGAGACAGGATCTACCTGTGTAGTTCGGGCTGGCCGTGAATTCACTAGAAAGCCCTTGAGAATGTATTTCTATCCTTCCGGCTCTTTCACGTAAGATTTGTAGCCCAGGCCGATCTCGAGCTCAGGGTAATCCTCCTGTCTCAGGCCCCCAAGTGCTGGGGTCACAGGAGTACACCACCATGCACAGCTGCTGACTGATTAAATCGCTTATTTCATCAGCAATACAAATTCTTGGGTTGACAGGGCCAAAGTTCAGTCGGTTTGTTTGTTTTGTTTCCATTCTCTTCTCAAATATAGTATACTTCTTAGTCTCTGAATGTCCCAGACTCTGTTTGCATCGTAGGACGTGAACATGGTACTGATGATGATGGATGTCAACCCTGGCGATACTGTTCTAGAAGCTGGTTCTGGCTCTGGTGGAATGAGCTTATTTTTATCCAAAGCAGGTAAGAGACTGGGACAAGTGAGCTAGATCTAGATGACAGAGAAGACATTCGGTTTGTTCATAATAACGAAGTTAAAGAGATAACAATATTCGAAGTCATATGTATCCTTGTGATAGCATTTTCTTCAAAACCAAATGGGAGTAACTATTTTTCTCTTTGTACATATATTCTAGTCATATGTTCTAATGATCCCTCCGATTTCTTTGCTTTCTCACTTCCTCCACACTCTTTAATGCTTCTAGAGAAACGCACAGAGGCTTTTATATAGTTAGCACACTCAGGTAGTCATGACCCGGATGAAGGGAAGGGACACCCTTGCAGCACAGATACTTCCTTGGGTCCTCTTCCAGCCCCATCCGCCAAGGAGAACCGCTTTTCTGACTTTGGTCCCTACCAGCTAGTTTTGTCTTTTTTGTACCTATGTCAAGGTAGTGATGCAGCGGGTGCCTTTTTGTATCATTATGTTTGTGGGATTCAGTCATTGCTTAGAGCAGTCCTTCCATTTTAGTTACAATTCAGTTTTAATGTCTGAGTTGGATGTTACAAAGAGCACTGCTCTGAGTATTCTTTATACTTTTGGTGCATGTATGTCCATGTTTTGAATAACAGTGCTAGATGAGTACTCAGGGTGAGAAAATGTAGGACAGTGGGGGCCAATCTGTGGCACAGATGCCGCAGTGGGCACACAGCCTTGGCCGGCTCAGCGTCACCCCCGCAACCGAGCATTTGGGTTTCATTACAGTGTTGGTTTTTCGTGATAAGTAAGTGGGCTTTGGGGTGGCACTTTGGGCCCTCTTCTCTGAAAGGGTCACCATCACTGATATAGGAGAAACAAGAGCGTCCCCTACTGGGCGATAGTTATACACTGTTAAGGACAGAAGCTGCAGATGGCATTCATAAATAGATTAATCCTAGTACAGCATTATCACTGATATATAATGAGCATACTTAACATATACCAAGTTAAAGCTGGATCATGAAAAAAATGCCTTTTAAAAAGTCTCTAGAAACTGACAGTTGGAAAAAGTACTGAAGTAGGTGTCGTATCAAAAATCGAGTAGTAGTAGACATAAATCTCATGTTTCTCCCACCTCATTTCTAGCTGTTGTTACCCTTGTTATTAGTGCCCCTTAGACCACTTATTCCCTTTGAGGTCAAGTTGCTTTGGGTGGTCTGGCACCTATGCACATTTCCTTCCTTACCTAATATTAATTGACCCTAAATAGTCACAGCACTCTCTTTAGGCAGATTTTATAAAGTTTACAGCTAAAAATACACTGAAATTAAACTTACACATTTTATTCTTTGACCATTGCCGTCACATACAAACATAATCTGGATTCCACTGAATCACTACATGCATTTGGATCTCCTCATATCTTTTGTTTCACTCTTTTCTGTACTTAAAGGCAGGCATTTCTTCACAATGACAAATTCCTAACCGTACACTTTCATTTGACAAAGTAGACTTATAAAACAACTTGTGAGATAGATCCGGGCAAGGTGGTGCACACCTATAGTCTCAGCACTATAAGAGGCTGAGGCAGGAGGATCACAAGTGTGAGCCCTGCCTGGGCAATTTAGCCACTTAGTGAAACCCCATTTCAAAATGAAAAATAAAAAGGGATAGGGATGTAGCTCAGTGTGTGGGCCTTGGGTTCAAACTCCAGGACCATGGGAAGAAAAATCGTGAGATAAGAGAAGTGGCCATGTTTCTGTCCTCAGAGGAATGTCATGGCATAAATAATCCCAGACCATGAGTGATCAAGAACTCAGTGCTGTTGACCACTGGGATGAAGATTTTCCTCTGTTACTTTTTCCCAGTCATTTAGCTTATGCTACTATTAATTCTATTCCCTGAGAACATGATAAGTTGTAGCTAGAGTTGTATTTCAAAACACATCCTGGAATTTAAAATTTTCTGTAGTGAAATATAGATAGAGTGGTCTGGGAGAGCCTGCAGATGGAATCACATCCTCTCAGAGGTGGATAGAAAATTAATTGCCTTAAGATGTAGTAGTGTGTTGTGGAATTACAAATATTAGTAAGCTAAACAAATGAAAATACTCAGGCACATGTGAAATACAAATACCTTTTAAGTATATGAAGACTCAACTTTGTTCACATTGAAACTACAATGATAAGCTCTTTTCACTTGCCCCCCGCCACAGACAGGGTCTCCCTACGTGGTTCAGGGTAGCCTTGAACTTACTGTGTTGCCCAGGATGGCCTTGAACTCGTGACAGTCCTTCTGTCTCAGCCTCCTGAGTGCTGGGATTACAGGCGTGTACCACCCCACCCAGCTTTTTTCATTTTTTAGCTCCATACACATAAAAAGTTTGATAATTCTTTGTTGGTGAAGGTGTGGAGAAATAGGCACCCTAATACATTTTTGAAAGTATAACTTGGTACCACTTTTTGGAGGATAATTGTTAATATTTTTAAAACAAAAAATTCATATACCCCTTGAGCCAGCAATTCCATTTTTAGGACTTTTATCTGATAAACTGGTTCATGTTACAAAAACAGGGAGAGGAATATTCTTTGTAGTACTGTTTGATTAGTAAAAGACTAGAAACAAGTTAGATGTTCATCAGTAGGTAACTGGTTAAATAAAGTTTAGCACCCACACAATGTAGTATAAAAGCTGTAGAAGGAATGTAGTTGCTGAATGACACAGTAAGGAAGAAGGTATAGGACAGTGTTTCAGCCATGCGGTGTTAAAAACCAGTCCCTTGCTTCTGTATTGCACCAGCTAGCCTGGAAGGGTACAGGGGACCCGGCTGCCTCTGAGGAAGACTGATTGGGGATCAGGATGATAGAGGAGATACTTTGGTAACCTTGAAGTGTCTAACTGTTTTTCTACACATGTTTAGTAGCTTTGCAAAATCAATGCTCAACGCTTTTTAAAATAAATCATGAAATACCGTAAATTATTTTACTTAAGTTGGATCTCAAGGACAAGTCATAAGTTTTGAAATACGAAAGGACCATCATGATCTGGCTAAGAAGAATTACAAACACTGGCGTGATTCATGGAAATTAAGTCATGTGGAAGAATGGCCAGATAATGTGAATTTCATTCTCAAGGATATTTTGGGAGCAGCTGAAGACATACAATCTTTAACATTTGATGCGGTAAGTTTTCTACAGTGGGTCCTCTGAGTACAAAGAAAACAGGACACAAACACGCCACATGGGGCCCTGAACTTAGGGCCTTGCATATGCTGAGGAAAGACTGCATCCCAGCCCTCAGGCCTCTTTGGTCTGGGCAGCGGTCTTCATCCTATCTGTCCTGTCTCTGTCACTAGGTCTGCAAAGAGTGTTTTCCCTAATGTCCTTTACTTCATAATGGGATCTGGGCAGACAGATACACTGATTTAGGTGCCCGGTGTCAGTACGTGCGGCATAAAGACCAAAGACTAGGAAGAGAAGTTGGGTGTTACGACCGCAGCATTTGCAAAATGAAGGAATGATAATGGGGAAGCAAGTAGGAGCATAGCGAGCCCAGCACCTAGCCTCGTGTGAAAACTGGGAGAACGCATGGCCTCCGTGGAGAAAGGGTAGACAAGAGGCATCTTTAGAAGTTAACGTTGGGATGTGGAGAGGAATAGCATTAGTGATGTTAAGGGTCAAGTCATTTATCATGAAAAAGCTCCCCAAAAGTGAAGTAGAGTAATTTGTGAGTAGAGATATTTTTATTTTATTTTATTGGTACCAAGGATCAAACTTGGGACTGTGCTTGTGAGGCCAACAGCAGAACCACTGAGCTAAATCCCCGGGCCATGGATTTTTATTTTATATTTTTTTGATTTTTGGGACAGAGCCTCATTATGCAGCCCACCCAGGCTGGCTTCAGACTCGTGGCCACCCTCCTGCCTCAGCCTCCCGAGTGCTGTGCTGTTTCGTGTCCCGTGCCTGGCCACACAGAGCAGTTCTTAGCAGTGGGAGGTGGGATGAAGGAGAAGAGGGGTATTGAAGATAAAAGCATAGGTGAAATTGGGATATTTTAAATTGAAATCAAAGGTGATGGAGATTTGGGACACTGAGCTTCAAAGTTTCAGAATTCTGTTGCTAAATTGCCATTCAGCAGTTCATAGCTTACCAGTGTGGGTTTAGGCCTGAGTAATGTGTCTGCCCTTGTTCTTGCTCACTCTCTCTCTTCTTTCCTTCTCCTTTTTTCCATTAAGTTTATTGCTACATTTAATGTAAATAATACAGTTGCATTCATCATTGGGATCTTGTGCCTTTACATGATGTATCTTGGTTATTTTTTCCCTGTTCCCCAGCCCTCCCTTCAACCTCTTCACCCTCCCCTATTTACAAAATATTTGTTTCCATGTTTTCCTTTTCTCACAGTTTTTCTTTTCCCCTATTTCCTTTCCCCTCCCCTTCCCACTTCCCTTTAGCCATTTTCTTCCTATTTCACACTGGGAATTATACCATTTGAACCTTATTTACACGTTTAGTTTTTCACACCAGAGAAACTATTTGGTATTTACTCAAGTGTGTCCTATTTATTTCACTTGAGTATAGCCTCAATGTGCATCCATGTAGCTATAAATGTCTCTAGTTTTTTTTCTTTATGGCTGAGTAGTACTCCATTTTATTAAAAACAAACAAACAAACAAAAAACATATCTTTATCCAGTCTCCAGTTGATGGGCTTGTTTTGGGTTTTGTTTGAGACAGTCTTGTTATGTATTCCAGACTGGCCTTTAAATCACTGTAGCCCAGCCTGACCTTTAATTTACAGTGATCCTCCTGCCTCAGCCTCCCAAACGCTGGGATTACAGTGTGTGCCACCATGCCCAGCTTTTCTTAATTGGCCGCTGGAAGGTTAGATTATTTTGGTGGAAAATGAAGCAAAATTCAAAGAGAAGAAAAAATTACTTTTATCAGCACTGATTCTCACCTATATAATTAAAGTGTATAGTTTTAGTGGCAACAGTTCTTTTTCTTTATCATTGTTTGGTTTGCATATGACAGTTCAGTAAAGGGAAAGGACTCATTTTTTTTTTTTTTTTTTTTTTTTTTTGTAT